ATGGAATAAAAATTTTATGGGTTGGGTAAAAAATTCAAAGAAGGTCAAAGTGCTGGAATATAAAAGAGAAGAATGAGAAATAACTAAATAGTTAGAAAGAAAGAAAGAAAGAAAGAAAGAAAGAAAGAAAGAAAGAAAGAGGAACAGAACAAAAACTTGAAGCAGTAAATGGTTCCAAATACCACAAATTGAATGACAAAAGCCAAGGGCTATAAGCCCAGTCTCACTTGCACAGACACAAGAAAGAGTTCACTGAAGCCTTCCCAAAAACAACTCTTGCAAAGCCAGCAAGCTCCAATGAAGAATGTCAGAAATTAAAATCAAACTTTTACAGCACATATGGGTTGTCACTGACAACTCTCCAAAACTCGTCATGAACACAATTCAGTACCCCTTTCTCCTTGTTCATGTGGGTACCAAGAACACCTTTGAGGAGGTAAAGGACTATATCAGAAAAGGAAGATACTAAAAGTGGAGGAATGGCTATGTAGACAATGTAGACAGCAGAGGTTTGGCTTCTGGGACCACTTTGTAGACAAATGGCTACAGTTGGGCTAAGCCTCACAAAGGCTGGGAAGAATGTTTTTGGTAGTAGCATGGCAAGGCTGATCAAGAAGGCTTTAAACTAACTAACGGGGTTGGAGATGATAGCTAACAGATCACAATGAAAAGACAAAACTACTTAATATCTATTTTACTTCAGTTTCCCCCCCTCCAAAAAAAGAGGACCGCGTGCTTCCATGCATCAGCAGAGAGACCTTTGCAAGGCACCTGGACTGCAAATCAAGATTGATAGGGAGTTTATCAGCATCATCTAGCTAACTTAAACGATTTCAAATATGCAGGGATAGACAAACAGCACCCCAAAATCTTAAAGAACTTGCTGATGCACTCTCTGAACATCCTGCCACTATTTTTGAGAATCTTAAGAGAACAAATGAGGTGCCACAAAATCGAAGAACATTGTCCCTCTCTTCAAAAAAGGAAAAAAAATATCTAGGAAACTACAGACCAGGAAGCCTGATCTCAATACTAGGAAAAATATTACAATGGATTACACAGCGGTCTGTCTGAAGTATCTTGATGACAGTTCAGTGATCAGTAGAAGCCACTATGGGTTTGTCAAACACAAATCCTTCCAAACTAATCTTATAAGCTTTTTTTAAAATCAGATCATTATTTTAGTAGATGTTGGGAATGATGTTGATGTCATTTATCTGGATTTCAGCTAAGCATTTATTTGATAAGCTTCCTCGTAATGTTTTGATTATCAAACTGATTAAATATGGAATAGATAAGAACAATGTCAGATGGATCCACTGTGAGATGGAAAACCATGCTCAAGCAGGTAAGCATGCCTAGAAAAGTGGTGGGGTCTCCTACTATGGATGTCTTCAAAAAGAGGCTGGACAGCTACCTACTGGGGATGCTTTAGCTAGAGATCCAGCACTGAGCAGAGGGTTGGAATAGATGAAGCCACTTCCAACTCTATGAGCTCCTTTTGCTAGCATGGCAGTCCCAATGCAGATAAAAGCACAGTGTACTTTCTCCAAAGAGGGCAAGGGATGGAAGCTGTAATTAATATGGATTGAGTCTCTCTTATCTGAAATCCCCAAATCCAAAATACTCCAAAATCCAAAATTGTTCACATTGATGGTGGAGATGGTGACACCTTTGCTTTCCAATGGTTTAAAGGACACAAACATTGTTTCATGAACAAAATTATTTAAAATATTGTTTATAAAATTACTTTCAGGCTATGTGTATGAGGTGTATATGAAGCATAAATGAATTTCATGTTCAGACTTGGATCCCATCTCCAAGATATTCCATTACATCTATACAAATATCCCAAAATCCAAAATACTCCTCGTCCCAAGCATTTTAGATAAGGGAGAATCAACCTGTATTATTAATAATATAATGTCTACTTGTAATTGACATAATACCTAGTTGTGATCCCCCCTACTGACTGAATTCTGCAAACATGCAACCATCGGTTTATTCATACATTATTTTTAGAACACCTTCATAACTATCATGTATGCTAACATTATTCATTGAGATTTCACAGGGCTTGGTCTTACTCCTTTTACTCCTCTTGGCTTCTTCAGATCTGTCAGAACTAGTGATGTAAAGAATACCTTCAGACTTTTTTCACCGCTAATGACAAAAGTGTCCCAACATATCAAGACACAATACAGAAAAACTAAACTGTCAGAAGATTTTACCTCAATGTAAAGAGCAATGCTTTTTTTTTCAGTTTCATTGGTTTTTGTGTGCAAAAATGCTGTATTTTGTGTTCAAAGTACAATGTTTTGTGTGGGGGGAGTTATGTTTTGAACAAAAAAAAAAATTCCAGTATTTTTGAGGAAAAATCCACCACCCCTCAGTAAAATGTTTACATAATAATGAACTTCAAAAATGGGGATCCTATGCAAAAAGTCTCTTGCCAAATGGAGAGAATTTTTTCATTCTAGCATGAAAATGAAGTGACACAAGACCTGTGCTATGGATACTGTTCTCTGTTGTGGCAGCAAGTCCAACAATCTACTGAGGAGGCAAAAATTAAGAACATATGGGAGAAAATATAAGGCAAAAAAGTGGGATATATATATATTTTAAAAAAGAACAATAATCCATTTTTACAGAGTCAGAATAAGCTTCGTATTTCCCTTTACAAGCCTAGAGAGACACTTTTAGAAGAGATTGTGAAGTGCATTGTGAGAAAGAAATTGTATGGCCTAAGGATAAACAAAACTCTTAGATAAATCTAAATTTTAAAATATCTAATCTCTCAAAATATGGATATGAATATATTTTGAACAGAGACCAATGCTGCATGACATCGAAGTAAAGCTAGGGCCTGGTTTTGCCTCCCATATTTGACTGGGAGATGCAGATCAGTTCATTAACAAAAACTGAAATCCTTTTAAAAAGGCATAATAGAAGAGAAGAATATATCTACCCCACATCCAATCGAGCCCAGGATTTCTCAAACAGGGTTCCCTGGTTTTACAAGAAGTCATTAGAGGTTCTACAAGAGATTGTGACTGAGGGGGGGAAGAACATTTAAAGCTGTACATATAATAATTTTAGGCAGTGTTTCCCTGAAACTTGAAAATGTCATGGAGAATAGACCTTTCAATGACTATTAGTTTAATATTTGACATTGTTTAATCCCTTTTAAAGTCCTCTAAACTGGTGCTTATTACATCTTGTGCTAGCAAATTCCAGAAACTAAATTTGCCCTGGTTATACCTTCTTTTCTTTGGGCAGAATCTCTTATCATTTAAATTCACTGGATGGCCACACAAACTAGTATTACAAAAGGGGGAAGAGTTATTTTTATAATTCTATGAATGTCTTACATGCCCATTTTAGCCATCTTTTTTCTACTCAAGTCAAACGTCTGCTGAAGTGTGTGCCCCAAGAAAGCACACATACAAAATGAAAAAATAAGCCCAGATCTATTCAGCAGAGCTCTCAGACTGGTTCAAAGGAACCAGGCCATTAGGAAATATGTCAATTTGATGGATGGGAGTTACACAAAGAATATATTGGTTCAGCTGTGAGTTTCAACTGATCATAATTTCCAGTTAACGGCCATCAAGACTGAAATTTTGAAAATGTTAGAGGAACATTTAACTGAATTTTTAATCAATACCCTGCTTTCATGACACACTTCGTTTCAATTCCTGTCACCCGTTTTTTTCTTCCCCAGCATGGAGATTTTGACAAGTGCTCCCAGAAAGAGAGTTAAAAAGTAAGTGAAGCATATGAAGAAAAGGTCTGTACTTTGTTAGGTGTGGAATTCAGCCTAGACAGGCTGAGAAATTAGGTCAGTTGCACAGAACCTTTCACCAAGCCATGTTTGAAGGATTTTCATTAATTAGTTTTTCAGAATGAGTTTATTTTTCAAGAAAACTAAGATTTAAAGCATTGAAGCAGCTTCAAATATGCAGTAAGTCAAACTGAAACAAAGCCTACTTGCATATTTGTGCACATGAGAAACTTAAATTGGGAGGATAGGGGAGAAATGTGGAAGAAACTTATCTAACAAATAGAGGAGGGAGATTTATGTTTGATTGGGACTGTTAAAAGCCAAAACAAATGTATATTTCCAATTATGCCAATGGTCCCCTGGCTCAACTGATATCATGTTAGCAATTGTCTGAAACTACATGCTGCATACAAAAAAAAATGGTACACACTCACAGACTCGCTCCCACTCCATCATATATCAATTTTCTTTTCTATTTTGTGGTTTCTTTCAACTATAGTGCACATGAAATTAATTAAAGGAAAGCACTAGTCAAGAACTGCTAACCTATGGAGTGTGGTGTCACAGAATCATAGAGTTGGAAGACACCATCAGCTTGTCAACATCCTTTTTGAACTGTGATTCCCAGAACTAGACACAATATTCCAGGTGAAGCCTGATCAAGGCAGAATAGAGTGGCACTATTACTTCCCTCAATCTAGACACTATACATCTATTGATGCAGCTTAGATTAGCATTAGCCTTTTTAGCTGCCACATCACACTGTTGATTCATGTTCAACCTGCGGTCTACTAGGACTCCTAGATCTCTTTCACCTGTAGTCTTGTTAAGTCAGGTTTCCCCCATCCTACATCTATGCATTTTATTTTCTCTGACTACCTTACATTTTTCCCTGTTGAAATTTGTTTTATTATTTTTGGCCCAGCTTTCTAATCTATTAAGGTCATCTGCAATTTTGATCATCTGCTCTGGGGCATTAGATATTCATCCCAATTAGGTGTCAAATTTGATAAGCATGCCCTCTATTCTTTCATCCAAGTTGTTGATAAAGATGTTGAATAGCACTGGGCCCAGGACAAAACTCTGTAGCATCCAACTGCTCTCCAAGATGAAGAGGAGCCATTGCTGAGCACCCTTTGGGTTTGGTCGGTCAACCAATTACAAATCCATTTGTTATTCTTCTATGATAGTAAATAAAAACAGCAGCTGTAATAGAGTCAGAGTGGCTCAGTGGTTTGAATGTTGGACTAGGACTCCAGGAGACCAGGGTGCGAATCCCAGTTCAGCCATGGGAAAGCACTGGGTGACCTTGGATAAGGCACACTCCCTCAGCCTAAGGCAATGGCAATCTCCTCTGAATAAATTTTGCCAAGAAACCTTCATAATAGAGTCACCATAACAAGGGTAATCACAAAAAATGTGAAGACATACTACACAGCTGTAGAAAAGTAGTAATATAAGATTAAAATTTTAGAAATGGAAATAGTTCTCCATTCTGACCATCTAAACATTTAATTCATCTTGAAATAAAACATAACTGATCCCTTTCTCTCTGCCTGCCCCCACTTCAGAGAAGTCATTCCAATTAGGTCTCTGAAAACAAAATCAACTAATCAATTGTTTAAAATAACAGGTTTCTTCTCCCATCACCGCTCCCCACCATCTATCTTTTATCAAGCCAACAGCACAGTTTTCTATTTATACTGATATTCTTATTTCAAACCATGGCTAAAAGTGAATTGGCAAATAGCCTTTGCAGACTGCCAGAAATAATGCAACTTGAGTCCACTTTAACTGCCCTGGCTCAGTGCTAGGGAATCGTGGAAACTGTAATTTATTGTGGCACCAGAGCTCTCTGACAGAGAAGGCTCAATGCCTCAGAAAAAAAACTACAATTCCCATGATTCCCTAGCACTGAGCCAGGGGAGTTAAAGGGGACTCAAGCTGCATTATTTTTGGCAGTCTGCAAAGGCCCATCCTCTGCCTTGAGCTAACTGCTATAGGGGTAAGTGGTGCAGATACAACGTCAAATCTTAAAAATGAAATGGTGAGCTCAGAACTGGCATGCAAAGTCTAAAAGAGAGAAATTTGAGAATAAAGGAGGAAGGAGAAGCACAAGCTGTCAGGGTACACAAAATCGTATCTGATCATAGATATACCACCATGCTTTATTGGTATAACAGATTTTTGTTACTAGTTTGGGAACCTGGTTAGAGGAAAGGTAGATCGAGAGTTCAATGCACATATCCTTGATAGAAAGACCAGAAATGGCAGAGAAGGATGGCTTCAAAAACTGCACACATTTCAGACACTTATTTCTGAAACTCAGTGTCCCTGTAAATCATTCCCACAGCTCCTGCATTACCTATCGCCCTACCCCAACCAAGTTCAGACTCTGGATTTCTTATCAACTTTGTTGTCTAAATCCTACGCGACAACATACTGTGCTTACTCCACAGGAGCCTAGAAATTATAAATCACTGTCCTGTACAAATCAACCAAATGTCGGCCCAGATTTACATAATGAACCCTGAAGGATGACCGCTCTCTACACAAAGAGAGGTGTGCACACACACACACGTACGCACACGCATGCATGCGCACACCCGCCCACACAGAAAAGCTGGGGTCAGGCTAAAAGAATCATATTATCCTCCAAGGGAGCAAAATAAAAGGTAGTTCAGCAACACAGAGAAAGCCACAAAAACACTAGAGAGGAGTTGAGAGTCACTGGTATGGCGACAACAGATCACCATGGAAACTTGCAAGCCCAGCAGCAACTGCATCCATCAGCCCAGTTCTCATTGCCTCAGATGAAGAGTGGCTCCATGGAAGAAAAAGAAATCAGCAACACCAACTAAACTTTCACGCTGCCAACCTTTCACCTTATTCAGGCAAAAACAAATCTAAGGTTGAATATGTGAATGGCAAGAAACATGGTGGGCGATTGGGAAAGAAGGGAGGAAGAAAGACAGAAAGGAGAAGTCCTTTAAGGAAAAATTCCCTGTTTTCTAAGCTTTGGCAAAGCAAAGTCAGTTGAAAATTAGGTGATGGTGTCTCCTCTGTCAAGTCTGGATGAATTGTGCGGGTCCAGTTTTGTATTGGTCTGTGCTGCAGATGGGTCGGCAAATATTCTGGCACTGTCTGTCAGGAAGAGTAATACCAGAACAGTAAGAAAAGGAGTGGAAGACCTACAGGGATAGGCTGGCAGCTGTGCATACAAGTAGCCTGTGCTCATCCATCACTGTTTGGTCATTACTCAGAGGAAAATCTGGGGTGGGCTGTGTGTGTGTGTGACTCCTGTGAATGGTACATGTCTATGAAAGCCTTGGTAAAAACCACTCCTGGAGCTAGAGAAGGCAGAAGATTTGGCGGTATCCCATGAGACGCATTACTGACACCCATCTGACTTTTAAGGAACACTGCCACGAAGAGGCTGGAGAAATGAGGAGTAATCAATACGTGGCACTCTACTAGTAATTCAGTTTCCTATGACACACCAAAAATCCTAGCACAAATCATAAGGGTTACTCAGTTTGACACCCCTCCCATATGTTTCCATCATCCCTTTTAAGACCAATAAAATTCTAAATACCGAAGGAAAAAGGAAATACACATAACCTAGTAAATCTACTGAGCTCAGCTCGACACCAGAGTTCTCGTGTGATTCGAGACGACACACGACACCAACGGAGGACCCAGAAAGTTTCACTTCACCATCTAGTGGGCAAAAGCTCAATCACAGTCACTGCAAACAATCTGTGCACTCCTGCCTCCATTTTGTAATCAGTTCACAAGCCTTGTTTCATCTGCCTACAGCTGTTTGGATCACAGTTCTTTTCCTGGCCCTCAGAAGACCAACAGATCAGTCCATTTACATCTGTGCTGGCCCTGCAGTATAAACAGAAAGATTTCTTCTTCTGGGCTAATCAATATAGGGGTGCTTCATTTTCTGCATGTACTAAGGCTGAATGTGGTAATAACATCATCACGTTTGTGTGCCAAAAACATATGCACTATTAAGGAAACGTTTACAGAGCTCTTGAGACTGCAGATTCCTGTGTAAATGATACACTTAAATACCAGATAAATAAATGGCATGCATCACATATGAAAAAGCATCCCACTGAAATTTAATCTCAGCTGCAGGCGATAAATCTGAAACAAAGGAGTCCTTACAGTGCCTCTAGGAAAATGCTCACATGCTGGTTTTGGCAAAATAAAACCAAATTAATGGAATTCTTCTCACAGTTTTTGTAAAACAACAATAAACTTCCCTGGATCTTAACACATTATCAACGGGCTAGGCTCTTCTTTAATGAGACTACACTATGACAAGGGCGGGGATGCTTTAGACATGACAATCAACCATGGCACGTTGCTACAAACACTGGGCCTCCCTTTCCTCTCCACAAACAAACAAAGCAGACAGTAATTCCCCCTTCTCCTTCCCCTTCTGAAGCCAGAAAAAATATGCTATCTTTTAGCATACCTTTCACTCCTCAAACCCTCTTCTTTTATAAAGGGCTGTCCAGGGAAATTGATCAGGACTGCCGATTAAGCTTATAGGAGAAAGCCAGAATCTTTCGTTAACCCTGTTCAACCACAGTACAAGTGTTCACTTTTCCAAGGGCTCACTGTGTATCCCACCATCAACAGGAGATTAAGCTGGTTGTTAGCTTCTCTGGCAGATGAGGGAAGTCACCATTATCCACTGCAGAAGAGCCATGTGAGTTACTGGGCAGAGTTCTTTTGCAACAGGACCCTGATTCTCTGCATCCCATATGAATCCCTGAGAGAACTTAGAGTAACCTTAATTAGAGTAGGTGGGTTTAATAAAAATTTTAAAAAAAATATTCCACCAGGCTTTTAATGGTCCTTAATTGTAGATTGGACTTTTAAATCTTCTCTTTTGATTTTAGTAATAGTGTTTTAATTTCCTTATTGTTTTAATTTTGTATGTTGTTTTAGTAAATGCTCAGGAGAGGACTGGTTGGAGCCAAAGGGCTACAAATATATCTTTAAAAACAAATTAATTGAGAAGATTTTAAAGGCCCACCCTTGTACAGTGCTCATAAATCAGTCCAGTTCTAGATATTTCTATCAGAAAGTTAGCTTTAAATCTTTAATTACAGGTTCAATTTGGAAATCATCAATAAGGTAGTGCTGACACCATGAACTCTGTGCTGACACACTTTCTGAAGGATTTTCAGTCAAGGGAGGCTGAATTTTTGTGCAATGGTGACTTCCCTTGTCTGTCAGAGAACCTAATAACCTAATCTTAAGCATGCAATCAGTGACAGCCAGTTTTAAACTTGAAAATGTCGTCCTTCACTTTCTGTCTTTCAGAAAACTGAGTTTGCAATTTAATATGTGGACACTTCTACACTTGTAGCCGATGCTGCAACATGCTAAACTGAAAAATTCAAATGCTCAATTTAAACTCTTTTGCAACAAAAGAGGTTTTCTGCCTTCCAACTTTTATGTGTAACACTGAATTTTATTTCTGCAACTCCACCCCAGAACCTATTAGTTGAGAGCACACAAAAGTAACTGCAACTCACAACAGACAACATTTTTCCAATCTTTTTGCTGACAATGAATTCAGAATCCATTTTTAACTTCACGTACAATTTAAATAAATAACATGTTCTCCCTAACAAATGCACTTCACTCTGCGTCCCTTTGTGAAGTGAGCTGGAGATTTTCTATTTCAGCTGCCTAAGTATCTTGGATAGCCAAGGGTACTATGCACTTTGGGGGGTGAACGGCCATTTGCTCCTTCATCTTGTAAACAAAAATATTGTATACATTATTATAAATTGCAAATGTAATTTTTATATTCCCAACACCCCACTGCAATCAGTTGCATAGATTCATTTCAAGCTGAACAGATACACTATTTATTCCAATGTTTCAGAGCCACTGGCTTATTATTACAATGCATTTTCTTTTCCTAGTTAGTTTACCTTGCATACGAAGGGAGGGAGACATTTTTCCTGTTCACTCTTTTCTATACAAATTACAATTTTAAAAATTGATGACATTCAACCAATCATGCTTTTTGCATAGCCAGCATAATGGCTGACATCCTGCAGGGAGAGATTTGATTCTGCTTTGTAAATTGATCTAGAGCTTTAAAAATTTAAAAAGTGTGAATCCTTTTGCTTGACAATAATGCTTTCTGCCTGCAATTTGCTTGGATGCTTCAAGCAAAGCTCCAGCTGCTCCCGTGGGCAGCACTCTCTAAGAATCACACATGTTGAGCAATGTACCTTTAATAGACAAT